GCTCACTCTCGGCACTACTCTCGTACGGTACCGAGCCATGGTCGAGGAATTTCTCGACCGTTATTCACCCAGGTTCTTAGAAAGATCCATTCCATTTGATGAGAATACGTTGTAAACTACCACAGATGCTCGTTCATGTCTGCTTGTGAGTTTAAGGATTTCACATTTTCTTCTCCTGCAAAAAGCCTTGTATCGACCTGTGTTAAAATTCGAAAATTCGAAAGAAGTAGGACCTGATTTCGATCGTGAAAGGTTCTTACTGGAGTCAGTTGCACTTCATGTGGCACGACAGTGTGCAATGGCTGATTAGCGATTATGACATAGCTCGTATGGAACGTTGATGTCCGCCTCTCCTGCCTTTTTACGCGCTTAATCCTGAGGCAAAAAAAAACTCGTCCGTACTACTCAGATCGTTTTATCACACCATTCGAGGCTCCTGATCATCGCTACGCTCCAGCCTTTAGCGTTAGAGGCGCAGTTTACACCAGACTGGCTCCTCTGGTTCTGTTTTCCATCCTAGAATTTTGGAACGGTGATGGTATACATTTTTTGCTGGGCTGCAGGTCTCGTTGAAAGACGACCGCTCGAAACTGAGAAGTGAAGTTTCGAAAAGACGGCTTTTTACCAGGAAATGCTTCGAACTTCCCATGGAACTTTGGAAGGAGACCTAGATATATCGATAGAGTCTTGAACGCTGATTACAAATATGGACACTAAAACTGCTACGTGAACTTCCTAAGAAAGTTATGAGCCTTCAAAGTTGGCAAAAAACGTTACTGAGGCGAGCTTACCTGGTGGAATCACAGTCGCCGTGGCTCTGCGCCAAAAACGAGTCTCATATTCGTAATCAGGGCACCCATTTACCCTTATAGAACAAGTTCCAGGCAAAAAGCAACCGTGTTTCCACATAGGTTGCACCTCATCATTAGCGTTCTTTTGCAACTTTTAAGGCTCACTTTCTTACAAAGTTTTCACGTAGCAGTTTTAGTGTCCATATTTGTAATCAGCGTCCAAGACTCTATCGATGTACCTAGGTCTCCTTTCAAAGTTCCATGGGAAGTTCAAAACATTCCCTGGTAGAGGCTGATGTACTTGGCAGATGGGTTGAGCCGACTGAAAATAAAGAAGCACATTCCCGCGATTCTGGCATACTCGTCCCTTTCTGTGTGTGAAGGCGGAGTATATCCACATATGAATTGCAAAAGCTTTTCCCCAAGATGTACTTCTTTTCAAGTCCCCACTCTTCCCCAAGTTTCAGATATAGAAAAAGACGGTTTGGCTATTCCGTAGAATTATACGTCCGTCACATATATTTCTGCTGTTTTTCTTTTCTTCTCGGCTGAACTTTTTATGGTACTCAAGACCTTTCTTAGGTGAACGCAAGTGGAGAAGTTTCACTGGAATCAAGCGAAGGCATATGGTGAAAAGATCGTTTAATCGAAAGAGTTGTAAAGCAGCCACACTGTGCTAAACTTGGGCCGTTTACTCCAGAGTCAAGAGTTTCTCTGGGGATTCTGTAGGATATACAACAAAATTGTGTCTAGGCAATCCTCCTCTGCCTTCGGATCCAGGAAAACGCCGCGCACAAGGAAATCAAGCAATTCCATCAAGTTGTATCAGAAGTAAAACCTTAATCGAAGCAT